ATGACTATTATTAGTATAGGAGTAAAATGTTTTAGCAAGAAAGTTATAAATTTCTAGCACTTTTTTATATATACTAGTTCATAAAGTACAATTAAAATTACTAGAAAGTAAAAACACCGGAGAAATTTGCTGTCAAAAGGCAAGCAATCACAAAAGATATGGGACGCTAGAGATACTTCTTTGAAATATAAAAGAGGAGAAAGTGAAAGATATTTAGTCAGCTACAAAAAAGTATTGACACTCTGACCACTGTTACATTATGACTAATAACAAATTCATCTCTAAAACAGAAGTGATATTATTGAAAAGCGAAATTGTGTGCGCTTATATCGTTGCGACGCGACATACTTTTACACACGACTCTTGATTTTTATTTTGATACATTTTAGCAACATTTATGACTGGCGTGGGTGTGACATACAAAAACATTCTTCTTTTCCTTTATAATTAGAAAGGATTGACCAAGAAAAAAATTTATTGCTGTACCGTTTAAGGAATGAAATTAAGGATGAATGTATTATCTATGAATAATGTTATGATGCTTATATTATCAAGAAAGTTGTACCTACATATTTTTCTTCTTATATCCAAATATGCTCAACAAAGATGATCTCCAAATGACAAAAGATTTTAAAAACATACTTAAATTTAGTATAAAGGTACTGCTAAGAGTTTGTGCAATATAATGTGTATAAAAAAAAATTAAATTTATTTTAATATAATTACTTCCTTGTATTCAAGGCATTCCAGTCACTTTTAGAGCGCATAAATATGTATATAAAATAATCTTCTGATATCGTGTGTGCATTGACTGCTGTATTTCATTGACAAACTAAAAAAATACATTCGCATTTTTTGCGAGTATGAGAAGGCAAACCACTTTTACAAGATAATAAAACTTGTAAAAATAAAAATATTAATTACATATAAGGTATACGATTTCTCCGCATAAATAAAATGTAAAATTGTATGTAAAATATATATATATATATATTTTATTTAATTATATTTTATTTTAAAAATATATAATACTGAGAAATTTTCTTTAGAAATAGAAATATTTTATATTCTGCATAAAATAAAAAATTCTTTAATTACCTCCAATTTATAAAAAAGAAGTCATTGTATACACATACATGACAGAAATGTTATTATATATAATTAAATTATCTTTGTTATACTTTTGTTTTTATAATAATAATAAGCAGTTTTTTTATTTTTTTGCTATTTCAGGAAGATGCTCTTTATCCACTTTCCATCAGTTAATGCTAAGATTGATGGCATGTCTAGAAGCATGACAGCACAGTACAGTCAAGTTGACATATAGTAAATGCTGTCTCGCGTGCTATATCCTAGAAATGTAGCCGCGAGCAATCAGCATCCTTGGCAGTGGAATTAGTAACAGAGATGCATATAACGGTAAATTTTGAATAAGACCATTCACCTCTTCACTATCGGACTATCTCAAGCAATCTTAAAGCATCCTTAAAAGCAATCTGTAGATATATCTCGCTTTGAAAGAGGAAAGCTTCTATATTTCTTTCCATATGGAAATCTTTCATAATTTCGTCAGTTAAACATAACTTGAATATATACTTTTTAATCTCATCTCGAAATTTTCAAAGAGAAAGAAGGATTATGTTATAATTTTAATAAAAATATTCTACTCTGTGAGTCACACATGTGATAAACAATTTGATAATATATAGTTGATGTCAACGCATATGAATTTTATATAAATTAAATTTATATATAATGCTGATTTTTTAAATGTAAATTTAATGTCTTATTTATTATTTTAATGGACTGAGGAAGACTAAGTAAAGTGGAAAGTTTTCCTATATAGGTATTATATTTTATCTAATTGAGTAACACTCTAATAAACCATTTTATATTTTTGACCTAATTATTTGCTCTGATAAATAAATTTACTTTTCTATTATCATTATTTGCATTGCAATCTTGAGTTTGATTTTTGTTTTAAATTTAATGTGTACGATCTAGGGCGTGTCAGAATATTTGCAGTTTATCTGTTATGGTTGTAGTATTTTAGTTTTCTATATCTTCTTTCACATATATTTTGATATAAGATTCTTTTTTAATAATACTTGTAAAGTACTTAATAAAAATCGATCTTTATTGTGATATTTTTGCATTGTGTTCTTTTTTAAATTTATTTTAGATAAAATTAGTCAGGAAATGACTATAATATCACATTGATTATAAATATAAAACTAATAATAACATGAATAAATAATATCAAAAAATCATTTGTCAATTTCTATTCGAATTCTTTTATATACTTAATTATAAAATAATAATGGAAATTTATATAATTTATACAATATATAATATATGATACATAAATAAATTGAAACAAAAACATTTCATTTATTTATCAAAGCAAAAATATAAAAATATAAAAATACTGAAATATTTGATTATGTTTGGAGTGAAACTTATATGTGCTTTAAAATTTTTTAATGATGTTTGAACTTTTGGAATATATTTGTTTGGATAAATATTACATTTTACTCAGATTTTTTTTATTTGTTTGAATACTTGTATTTAATACAATTAAATTAAACTTTTATCTGTAAATTTATATTTTAAGTAGGTTATAATTAAGGCAACCAAAATATGTATAGGGCATCTTTTTTTTATTTGACTTAATAAAGAAATAAACTAAATATAAATTTGTTGCATAAGAAATTATGCACTTTGAGCCCTATATGTTACAGCATATTTTTGCATATTTCGCCCACACATGCACAATATTTACATATTTTATCTATTTTTATTGTATGTTTCACATCGTTTTCTAATTTAAGTTCATGATTACGTTATTATAAGTAAAAAACTTAATTAATATTTTGAAAATTTGTGCGATAAAAAGTAATTTTCAAATGCATATATTCCTTTCTTTAGAGCATTTTTTCAATTTCACAGAGCATATTTTAGGCTCTTAAAAAGGGATTTTTACAGCATAATTTTGGTTGCCCTACACTGAGAAAAATATTTGTGTAAAATTACATAATTATCCTGGGTTTTTTTCCGATCCAGCATAATCATGTAATTTTACACAAATATTTTTTTCAGTGTAGTTATAACAAAACAGTAGAGCAAATAAAAAAATCTATGCAAAAATATTTATCTAAATAAATGTAATCCATATGTTCAAGCGTTAATAAAAAGCGTTTTTTTTTAAAGCAAGATAAGAACAAATAAAATAGATACATGTAATCTTTGACTATCAGTTATTCCTTTATTAGCAACTTTTTTTTACTTTTTTATCCATTTCTGCTAGAAGTATTGCGATATCAAAATAACTATACCAAATGTAGCCGTACAAGACGAGCTTTCAAACTGATCTGATATTTTAAAATATATAAGCTGAATGTTTCGCGATAAACAAAGAAAATTGCTCTCACAAATAAGGCACAAAATATACTTTCATCTCGCGTTTATGTCACAAAACAGACGTTTTTGCTTTTAACTTTTTTAATTTTTCCTTCTACGGATTTTTTACTTACCTGGTATGGGCGTGAAGTAGATGATGGTCGTGACCACGGAACTCAGGCCAACAAAGATCCCGAATCTGAAGAGCATGATGCACCTGGTGGATCGGGACTTGTCAACTGAGATTACCAGAGAGCTGTGAGAGACGCGAAAGCGTGGAAAAGCAAGCCACCAAGAGAAGGTAAGGACTGTCCAGCGTCGTTGTCGCGGACACACTAGCGCTGCTTCAGCAAGTTCATTGCCAGAGAGAGAGTCGATTCTCGATTAAAAGAAAGATGTTTCAAGCGCGGAAACACTATAACGTGTATGTCGTGCCGTTTACAGTCTCTTGGCACGGAAGAGATTATACACATGTATTTCCTCGAAGGATCTGCACGATACCTGCTAATCTTCAGAGAAATCGTGAACTTTGTGAACCTTTTCGCTGTGATATATACTTCTTATATTACTTAGAGCTTTTCTCAACGACGTTATTAACGATATCGCGAAATGGTGCTAATTAATTAATTATTCTGATGCATGTAAATTATACGTAAATTATATTCTTCGCAAGACGTGAAAATCGGAATGATTATACTTTGTAACATAATCGCTTCTTTCTAGAATTATGATATTTTGTTAAATTTATATTTAATGATTCCTACTTATTTGTTTCTACATTTTACACATTCTTAAAAATTCTTGCTAATTTTTGAGATCATTTCCTGGAATGATTTCAATTTATCTCAATTACAACAGGCTTTATTTCTCATGAACTGTATGTTATATATTTTTTTATATTTATACAATATGTATTTTAAATTTTTAACGATTTATACTTTATGCAATACCTACAATAGAAAGAATGATTTTTATATCTAAAAATTTAGCTAGACGCAAAAAATCTGAATATAATTTTGTTAGACCAACAAAATAATTATGTAGAACGTTGATGACAATGCTGCAAAAAGTTTTAACATTCTAAACAACTAGTTGAAATATCCCACAATTATTTTGATAGTCCAACTAAAATATATTATGGTCAGATCTGTATGTACTAGTTAAACTTTTAGATATTTTAGCAAAATCGATCATTCTTTTCGTGTACGAATAATGTGCTAAAAAAACAGAATTGGTTGAGTAGCAAAAGTCAATGTTAATTAAATTGCAAGAATTTATATATATATATAATATATAATATATATTATATATAATATTATATTATATATTATATTATATATTATAGTATGTTATATTATATTATATTATAGTATATTATAGATAGTAATATTATTTTTTTTAATATATCAAGTCTATAGATAAATATTCATTAACGTGATACATTTGTTCCTAATGTGATAAAAGACTCATAATATGTATTTGAAAAAGTACTTTTAGTTTTATCAAAAGCGCTGACGAAGGAATTGGAAATTAGTGTACCATGAACGAGCATGATGGCGATACCACATTACCACCACTGGCGCGAACAGCTGTGAGCTGAACTTCGTAATGGCAGTATCGCACTATTTTGCACTTGGGAGTAAATGTTGGCGTTCGAAGTTACTTCGCACTCAAAGTTATTTCGCACGTGCGAAAGAATAGTATGATTGAAGTCACGAATCAGAATTTCAACAAGGTGTATCCACACTTGGAGCACACGTTGAAAAACGCTAGCTTCATAGCGATTGATGGGGAATTCACAGGTATAGAAGGTGATGATGTAAGAAATAGGTTAGTTTGTACTGTACGGGAACGAATTAGAATGAGGTTTCGATGGATGTTGATGATAATGATAATACTTGATGTTGTATCGTTGCAGCTTGTTTGATTCCATACACGAGCGCTATGAGAAGAATAGGAGCCACATTCAGCCGTACATAATAATTCAATTCGGTATTTCGGCGTTTCAACGAGTTCACGATGAGAATAAATACACTGCGGAGGCTTTCAATTTCTTTCTGCTGCCTAGAACTATACCGTCAAAAAATAGACATTTTCTTTGGCAGATAGCATCGTTAGAGTTCCTGACCATGTATGGATTTGATTTTAATAAAGTATATATGCATTCTATTCTATATATATCCGTTACAGATATTAGCTTATTTATTACTAGCAATTCACTTTGTAGATAGCAAGCTGGTATTATTTGTTGTCATGTTTTGACTTCAAAATGATGATAAATAATGTTAACTGGCTATCTGATTTAAAAATCTCAAATCATATCTGATGTTTTATTTAGCGAAAGAATATATATATGTAAAAATTTTTCAGCTTGCCTACAATGGTATTTCATACCTTGATGAGGTTGACAGGGCAGTCTTAACACAACAGATACAGGAGGATACATTGTTCAACAATGTGATGCAATCTATTTCTTACAAGGAGGAAGATGATTTTAAAACTGCAGTCACTCAAATATTTGAATGGCTAAAGACAGCTAGTGATGGAGTAGGTTCTATTAAAGTTGAATCCTCTACTCCAACTTTGCAATACTTTATGCATAAAGAATTGAGAAAACGTTTCTCAAATATTTGGACTTACTCTGGGAACAACGTGGTATGATATGCTGCTCTTTAGGAGATAAAAGCTCAAATCTTTCAAAATTTTTATTTTTGTAATTTTTTAGATAACTGTAATTAAAGTGTCACCAGAATTGAGAAACATTCTGGAAGAGGAAGAAGGCTCCATATTAGAAAATGTATTGCTCGAATCATATATAGGTTTTACAAAAGTATTCAATCTCTTGGTTACTTTGAAAAAACCTATAATTGCACATAATGCTTTTTTAGACTTTATGTTCATACATCAACAATTTTATAAGCCATTACCACGTATGTATAATTATGTAATAATAAATTTATTTTCTAAGTTTTTTATTCATAATATACATCGTGGAGATAAAAATTAAATCGTAATTACTTATAGATATAATGTTTCTTGCAGAAAAATATATTGATTTTAAGAATAATATACATCAACTGTTTCCAACAATTTATGACACCAAATTCTTAAGTTTTGAACTGAGAAATATTCTCCAAACAGAAGGTAATTATTTAATATTTATTTATTTATTTGTATGATTATATATAAACATATCAAGTGCATTTTTTTTCTTTTCAGAAAAGTGGAAAGATAATACTTTAAGTGGCTTAATGAGTCATTTTACAGGAAGCCATGGAAAATATATAATGCCAGGATCGCCTGTCATTAAACTCACGACAGATTCAGACGAATTAAATGGTAGATAGTTTTTTTTTAATATTCCTTAATTTTGTTTATTATTATTAATTTATGAGATATATTCTTTAATTTTGTTAGATATTGTTTCTTCTAAGAAATATCATACCGCCGGATGGGACGCTTATTTTACCGGTTATTTATTTATTAGAATAACTCATGTATTTGCTACAAAGCAATATCGACAGTAAGTTATCGATTATATGGTTGAAAAGCAACAATTATTTATTTCTGCTCTTACAAGGGAACCGTCGGAGCCGTTCCTCACCGATTTTGATGGATTTTGAACAAGGTTCCCTTGTTAGTAAGCATACATATTATATTCGGTCTTATGTATGATTTCAGAGGCTTAAATTCAAAGGAGTTTACACATATAGAATTGATGAATAGCATAAAAAGCTTTGCAAACTGTGTAAATATCATACGTGGCAATACGTCATATTTGGTAAGAAAAATATAAAATTATTATTTTGCAAAAAAATAGTCGACTATATACCATTTTTTTAAATAAACAAAACATACATTTCTAGAGATTTGACGGGAGTGAACCTAAATCGACTCGACCAAAATGGCTTTATGTGAAAATGTTATCATCAAATTCAGTAACCCCCTCACAGGTATTATATTTAATTTTGTATATAATATTGAAAATTTGTTCAAAATCTTGGAATCTTAATCCGTAACTGGAACATGTATAGGATTTGGTGACTTTGCGATATTTTCTTAGGCTACATTCCAAAATATCCTCTTCAGAGAAAATTTTGCTCGAAGTAATATACATTACATGTATAATATATATTTTGAATAAAATTTTTTCTAGAGAGGACGTTTTGGAATGTAGCCCTAATTTTTTGGTATAATGATTTGGAATAATTGTATGTTTCACAATCTTATTTTTCACAGTTTTGTTCTATTCGTGTACGCTAATTGTAAGTCTCATAATATATATTTGTATCTAACAATAAATCAAGTATATTACAAATTTTTTCTTAAAGAGAAAACTAATGATAAAAAATTTTAATGGGTCCCAAGGACGTTTCTAGCATCATATAAAATACGTGTTCCTTTTGCGAGTTAAATATTTATTTCGTATATCGCTGTATGCACGCGATATACGTATAAAGTGAATGATTTGTAGCCAGTTTGTATTGTGAAATATCTGCTCAGGTAGCTGAAAAAATGTCAAAGTTTGGCATGGTTGACGTGAAACAATGTACACCGAATCGCTTGTTAGTTGCAGTAGCAAATCACGGAAGGTCAGTAATCTTTGTTTTCTATTAAATCTCTTTTTTTCTTATTGAAAATGTTTTCCCGTGTTCTACATTATACATATATAAATAACGAGAAGTATTACACAAATTTTAAATGTATAAGAAATAGGACGCAGCTTTACACATATAGTGAAAAAGTGATTGCTGCCAACTGCGTCCGATTTCGAGATTTATGTGAAAATATCACAACGCGGTACGAAGAATCCTAAGAAATTAAATCTTTATTTTTTCGATAGAGGTTGAAACTATTTTATCTTTGGTTTTATTCTTTTACATATTGGATAAATATAAATATTAAATATATTATAAAAGTAGGGAAATTTATAATACATAGTATGAAGCTTCAGTGCAAGATAGCAAAACTATTTTGGATAGTCTTCAAGGGCAGCCGCATATACTCATCAATGTACCGTATAAAATGTGATTTTAGTATGCCTTCTTTATCTATTTTCATATAAAGCAATTATATTACAGTACAAAACTCACACATTTTTTTTCCTCTTCTACATATATAATAAATTAGAGATCAATCTTACTTAAGCATTCAAAATATAGATAAAACATTAATAGCTTTCCCCAATCAATTTAGTATTTAAAAAGCGAAATTTTCGTTTTCTAATTGTCACAAAACAAAAAATATTTATTAATCAAATAAGCTCAAATGTCTTTAATTTTAATATTTCTGAAGGAATGATAAATATTTTTATTTAGAAAAATAAATTATTGAGTTATTGAGAGTCTGTGGAATAGAATTAGAGAAACTGAAAATGGTAGATCCATAAAGATCGTACAATATTTTTAATTAATAGATATGTTTATCTCAATTGTATCTAAAATCTTCATTCGAACTGTATTTTATGACTACAGTGATTGATTCATACATTTATTCGATTGGCATGTTACTTCGAATTATTACAGTGCTTCGTAATGCCGAAACACATTCGGCCAAAGTTTATTTCTCCGGTCTAGTTGTACGATCGATCGATCGACTGTGCTTGTCTAATCCGAATAGTCTGAAAACACAAACCAACGAATATATCGCTAATTCAGTAAATCTATTACAATCCGCTTGTTTTGTAGGGAGGGCGCGTATTAAGATCGCCAACGTTAAGTATCTCGCGACTATTTGAATGTTGCAAGTATTCGCACAGTATACTTACTGCTACAAGTATTCGTCAGTTTCGTTTTTTTTTGCTGATAAAATAAGATAATATTTTATATGTTGCATTCACTGGTCTATCATCACGGATTATGTTTGCTAAATTGTAGCTGTTATCACTCTTGTGAGTAATTTTGTTTCCCTATCACCAAATGATTTGATAAGAAAATACTTGCAACGTTTACTTGTGCGTTTCTGCACAAAAGATAATACAGAAGATTCTTCTTCGTTAAAATTAAGAAGTGAATTATCTCATGGATTATTGCAAGAAACAAATGTACTTTTGATGAAACTTTTCCAAATATTCGTACAACGGATAATTGACTCGATGCCGTCATATTGTACGCGTAAGATTTTCTTCGTCATTGGCACTGTTCCCGTCTTTATGTCGCTTTTACCAACGAACTTTTGCAGATATATTTACAGGGCTTATTAAAAGACCGCCACTGTCTACACCACCGTGTACATTATTATTAACGGTCTATTATTACACTTGATGTTGCCACACGTGTGCAACTTTTGTCACACGAAATTGACTTAACTTATTACGTTTATCTTGTCGCGCGGGACGATCGGGATTGTTGGATACGTTCTCCTTTGCGACGCAATGATCAAAATGATTTCCTTAATTGTTTTACAGCGCACGAGACATATTACTACACTTCAAGAAAAATAATGAGCTGTACGTAGTGCCGTATAATCCAATACGGCATTCATCCTCGGTTCAACTTATCCTATGGTACGTATAAGAATTGATAATTAATCTGACTGTTCTACACGGCCATAGCATGATAATTTGGCATGCATCCCGTTAACAACAAATGGTCTTTCGAAATCAGACGCGTGAAATAAACGTATCAGCCTGTTCAACTTATTTGAAGGAATTCGTGCAATTATTTTTGTTTATTGGCAATCTACGATGTTTTTATCTGGAAGAGATTTTGATTATCTCGATATTCATTGCTTCACGATTTGCTGATAGTAATTATATCATACTTTCAAAGTATTTCTTGAAAGCATCACTACCTTTTTCAAAATAACTTGACTTGTCCAATAAAGTTCCTTTTATATTTATTCCACGTACGATCTTTACGTATCAAAGGGAAGAATTAAAATTTATATTTTAAACAATAATAGTCTCATTTTTAGATCGTACATGTGAGAACACAATCTATCGATAAACTAGATCGATCGAAGTTAGATCTTTAAATGCTTAAATAATTCAATCTTGAATTACTGAATATACTATATATGTACTTGCATGTATACCATATTTGTAGTCTTACGAACTGCGCGCCAAAATATTTCCGGACTATATAAATGCAATTAAACTACTCTAGTAATAATCTCGCGAATTAAATTAATATCTAATAATTTCGATGCTCAAACAGGCATCATATTCTAAAGATGTTAATATGCTGAAATATTTCAGCGCGCAGTTCGTAAGACTACAAATATGGTATATATGCAAGTACATACATATAATATATTTAGTAATTCAAGATTGAATTATTTAAGCATTTAAAGATCTAGCTTCGATCAATATAGGGTTCTAGTTTATCAATTATATTTTAAAGTTAAATTTTTGATTCTCACAGCCTCTTCTGTATTGATGCTTAACAGGCCGCCAAGTTTTATTTCAAATCATAGAAATATACTTAAAAAAAAGAATTGTAACTATTTTTAAAATATATTTAACGTTGAAATTTTAATAAAATATATTTATAAAATATATATAATATATATAGTATATTTTATTAAAATTTCAACGTTAAATATATTTAAAAAATAGTTAATATTTAAAAAATTCTTTTTTTAAATTATATTTCTATGATTTGAAATAAAACTTGGCGGCTTACTTAAGTATCAATGCAGAAGGCTGTGAGAATCAAATATTAGCCGTCTGTGGCCGAACAAAATGGATGATTTTGGAACACTTTGTCCTGATGTACCATTTTCCGAGCACATCACGGTGTCGTAATTGCGATTTCAGTCAACAGTCGCAATACGTTAAGGCTGATTATTCCTATAAGTGGCGGAACGCCACTGAACGTATTACGTCAAACAAATTAATGGCTTCCAATTGGGCTGCGTTTGCGAAGTCTCTAATTAGCGTCAACATTGCCATAGATGCAGAAGCCGCAACTCGCTTTGCCAATTGTTGCGAAGGCATTAACGAACGATCTGGTCGATCGTTACGTTACCTAACGCTTGCGGGTAAAAGATTCGCATTCCTTGTTTTCCTGGCTATCCCGTTTCGTACGATCGATATATCAATCCGCGCTCGTCATTACCGCATTCTGAGCGCAATGAAAATGTTATATTTAGGTTGCCGTTTCTGCATAATAAAGTTCTTCTATTTTATATAGAGTCTCAGTGGTCTCAGTATTTTCATGACGTTTTTTTTTCCGCGATTGCTTGTAAAACATTCAACTTTATCAAAATAATTTGACCTGTCCAATAAAGTGTTCTTTTTATATTTATTCCATGTACGATCTTTATACATCAAACGGAAGAATTAAAATTTATATTTCAAAGTTAAATATATTTTATTAAAATTTCAACGTTAAATGTATTTAAAAAATAGTTACAATTCTTTTTTTAAATTATTTCTCTATGATTTGAAATAAGACTTGGCGGCTTGTTTGTACTCTGTGAGTATAGTAATGCGACTCTTTTTCGAATAAAGGATACGTAAATTAAAATTTAATTTTTTTCAAAAAATACTATGATTACAGAATTATTCGTATAAATTCAAATGTATTTTATTTATTGATATTTTATTGTTATATACATGTAATTACGCAATGTATATTAATATAATATAATCGGCTATTCTTTTTAACTACAGGGGCAGTTTAGTCGTTTCTGGTGGGATCTTCGCATGGATGCTGCATCAAAAGTTTCAGAGAAGCTCTTAAACGGACTGTAAATATCTTGAAGATATAGCAACGAATTCAAATGTTTTATAATATATATATATATATATATATTTATTTGAAGAACATATTGTCTGTCTGAGACTTTATTTGAGTTTTGAAAAAAGATATGAGTTAAAAAATATGATTTAAAAGAATAAGATTTAAAAGATGTGACAATGAGATAATTTTTTGTATGAGATAATAATAAAAGACAAAGTATTACTAGTATTACTAGTAACTCTGTAGTTATTTTACACCATGTCTTTTTTTTGCAGTCCAGAACCTCTACGAACATCGACTCCAGATTGGTGAACGAATCTGTCACCGAAATTAAAATTGACGGCTCTGAAACACTGCGTACAAAAAGTCATTTGTAACATGAACAACAAGGTTGTTTGTCGTTCCGTAAAGTTAAGAGAGCGGAACACAAGGCGGTACGGGACCAAGATGCAGAAACGACAAGTATTTTACGCTTCGCCGCAATGCTTGTCGCCATTCTGTTTAAATTTAAGATTCAGCTCAGGAACGGAATCTTCACGGGAGTTATTATTATTTTGACTCGTAGCGAGAGTTCTAAGTTGGACGAAGCTTGAAGCTCGTTTTCGAGTCAAGCAGGAAGTGATCGCACTTACCGAAGATACATTCTCTCTTTCTTCCAATCGTGAACCGATTGCCACGCATGATTATTCGTTTTGTTTTTTTTCCTCGATGCTCTTCCTCTCGTCACCGCCCAGTCATTCCGGATAATCGTACGTTAGAACTTTTTCACGCGTATTCCGTGATACTTTTCTCAAAGCGGAAATTTATCTACGAAAGAAAATGAGGCAAATCCTTTGTAAAACTATACTTTAGCGTCCGGTTTATTATAGATTCTGTAAAAGTAAAACTGTGATTTTTATTGCAATATTGCAAAATGCACTTTTAGGGAATAATTTTTTTTAAATTATGCTTTAAAAAAATATAATATAATTAAAATTATTATATTATATTTTTATTATTATGCCTTTATTCGTACAGTTTTATAAAAAAAAAAGTACAAAATATATCCAAATTTTTTCCGAGGTATCCGTTGCTAAATATTGA